GTCTCTGGGCCACACTGGAAGAAAAAGAGTTCTCTTGGGCCAAACATTAAATATACAAACACTAATGAAAACTGATGAGCATAAAAAAGGTCTTAAGTAAATTTATGATTTTGTATTAAGCTGCATTCACAGTCATCCTGGGCCACATGCGGCCTGAGGGCCACAGGTTGGACACCCCTGCTAGTTTACTTCATGGGATATTTAAACCTTTGCCACTCTGCCCTGGCTGGTGTGGCTCAGTGGGTTGGGCATAGTCCCGCAAACCAAAATGTTTCCAGTTCAATTTCCAGTCAGGCTACATGTCTGGTTTTCAGGACAGGTCCTTAGTTGGGGGCATGTGTGAGGCAACCTATCAAATGTTTCTCTCCTTCTCCCTCTCCCTCACATTATCTCCCTCTAAAAATAAATAAAATCTTTTAAAAAACAAATAAATACACAGAAAAAGCTATTCCACACTCCCCAAAACTTCACCCAAAGATTACTCAATTGACCCTCAGTCTATTCTAATGGATTCTTTTAACAAGATAATTCAGACTAACTTACATCCTGTCTTCTATATCCTGTCTTCCGCATTAAGCTTTTTCATAGCCACGCAAATCCATGTTCTTCCCTTCATTCTAAGGGAGAAAGGCTTCCATCTGTTGAAGTTCAGACAGTCTTCAGCAATTAACTTCATTCTCTCCTGTCACCTCTGAGACTTGCTCCATTACTCATCGCACTGCTCTTTATAAATATTAAACATCCCCTTCTCTACCAGCTCCTCCCATAGTTTAAAAAATAAAGTTTTTACATGAAAAATTTGTTGACCATTCTGGCTCAGACACAAGGTTTTTGTGCTTGAAAAAGTTAAGAGATGAGACACTGGTCAGATAGCTCAGTTGGTTAGAGCATCGCCCCGATACACCAGGGTTTATGGGTTTGATCCCTGGTGAGGGTACATACAAGAATTAGTAACCTGATGTTTCTCTCTCTCTTTCTCTCTCTCTCTCTCTCTCCCTCCTTCCCTCCCTCTCCCCCTTTCTCCCTCTCTCTAAAATCAATCAATAATTTAAAAAAAGAAAAAGATATAGTATTGAGTTGACCAAAAAGTCTGTTTAGTTTTATCCATTAAATAAAAGACACATTTTTCATCTTCACCAATAATTATTGATTTGGATATTTTGAATATGTTGGACATACCCGCATGGTATTGAGAACATTGATTGTTCTCAATTAATGTCTCTATCAACTTCAAGTGGCCTATCCAATCATAGACCATTGTCCAGAGAGAAATCTTTAGCATGCAACTTTGCAAACCACCTTCTCCATACATTGCACAAATCCTTTTTCTGCATTTCAGTTGAATTTTCACCTTTCTTGAAATAATAGAGCATAATACGCCAAAAATGTTGTGTATTTTTTTATGTTCAATATTAAAATGGCTACACAATATTCACCAATTTTGATGTTTTTTTAAATGCATACTGACATGATAGCTGTCACAATACAATCTAACAAAACTGTTTCAAATAAAGTTATAAAGACAACTAAGCACTACCACAGCCATTTTATGGACAAAACCAAATGAACTTTGTGCACAATACACAAAAATAGTGATTACAGATTAAATAAGGCAGCACATGTAAAGCATGCACCATTGTGCCTGCCACTAAAAAATGTTCAGTTTTCAGTTTATAATAAAAACTTGTGCTACTTAAAAATACGTTACTTTTGCACAACGTTTTTCCTCTGAAGACATATTTACAGGCAAACCAGGATCTAGAGAATTATCCATTTTGAAGATATAAATGTTTTTGTATGTTAGATAGCAGTTGTAATTCAACAATTACAGAGTATAACAGAGAAAGTTAGAAAATCTTTCCTGTAAATAATTATGAACCTTTGAAAAATACAAAAAATAACTATTTGAAGGCTCTGGAGAGCAGTAAAAGTAGTAGAACCAAGTAAGGAGCCAATAGCATTGGACAAGATTTGCCCTTGTGTAGGTTTTCAAGTGAGGGCAATTCTCTGTCCTGATAGCACTGGCAGCAGGAGCTCAAGCACAGAGCACCCCTTATTATGGTCCAAGAAGGCAGAGGATGATACTGAAGCTGCCACAATGAACCCATGAGCATCTCTGGTTGATGCTTGAATTACACATTCATCAGGGAGACTCCACACTAAATGACAGAGGTGTCTGCTGAGTGGATGGGAGAACTCAGCACATATTTCAGGTATTGACAACTGCAAGGAGACAGAGTATGTATGGAGTATGAATTTCACCAGGTTCACTGCTTCCTAGAACAAAATACATTCTTCAGAAGATAACAGAATCTAGGATCTCTACCATATCATCCATAATGTTTATTTTAGTATACAACAAATTATTAGACAAGCAAGGAATTTATTTTTTAAAGTGATCCACTGTCAAGAGAAATGTACTCAAATATAAACTGGGTCCAAGATGATTTATATTGGAATTAGAAAACAGGGACCTTAAAGCAGCCATTGTCAAAGAAAATATGGTCATAAGGACAGAACAGAATGGGAATGTTGGCATAGAAATAGAAACAAAAAGTCAAATGAATATCTAGAACTAAAAAACATAGTATCTAAAATAAAAAACTAGTTCACCAAATGGGCTTAATAATAGATTTAAGAAAGTAGAATTAAAAAGCAAAAGTATTTAAGAGACATAGGAAAGATTGACAAAAGTGAACAGCACCTCAGTAACCTGTTAAGACAATATAAAGTGGTTTAAATTCCATGAAAGCAGAATTTAAGAAAGAAGAAAGAGAAAATGAGGAAGAAAAATATACTAAAAGAAAAAATAGCAAAAAAATGTACAAATATGATTTTTAAAAAATTTATAATCCAGGAAGCTCAGCAACTCAAAGCAGGAGAAATATAAAAATAATCATACCTAGGTACATTATAGTAAAACTGCTGAAAACAAAGATAAGAAACAATTCTTGAAAACACAGGAAAAAAGATAGATTGCATACAAATGATGGCTAAATTATTATTTCTAAAATATACAAAGCAAAAACTGACACAATCAAAGGGAGAAAATAGAAAAATATATGACAACAAGCTTCTCCCATAAAAAGAAAACTAAATTAAAAATCAGCAATAGCCCTGAGTGGTGTGACTCAGTGGGTTGGGCATCATCCTTTAAACTGGAAGGTCACTGGGGCAATGGCTGGTCAGAGCAAATGACAACAGTGCAGGTCAGATCCCCAGCTGGGAGTGTGTGAGGGACCTGATGTTTCTCTTGCACTTCGTAGTTTCTCTTCCTTCGTCTCTCCCTAGCTCTCCCCTCTCTCTAAAAACAAACAAAATCTTTTAAAATATCAGCAAGAATACAGATCTTAATACTATGAACATGCCATGGTCTAACTGACATTATGGAATAGGACAGTCTAAGGCTAAAGAAGATGTAGTCTTTTGCACTTGTTAAGCTAATCAAAACCACCAAAAAAATTATGGAAGACTAAAATCTTACAGAATATGTTCTTTGACCACAGTAAAATTAAATTATAAGTAAATCAGAATAAGATATTAAGAAACCCAAAATTCACCCTGGCTGGTGTAGCTCAGTGGATTGAGCGCAGGCTGTGAACCAAAATGTCGCAGGTTCGATTCCCAGTCAGGGTACATACCTAGGTTGCAGGCCATGACCCCCAGCAACTGCACATTGATGTTTTTCTCTCTCTCTCTCCCCCTCCCTTCCCTCTCTAAAAATAAATAAATAAAATCTTAAAAAAAAAGAAACCCAAAATTCAAAAATAAAAAAACATACTAAGTAAAAAAGCTTAAAAAGGAATCACAAAGGAAAGTAGACTCCATTTAGGGCTGAATTAAAATAAAAACAGAGCATACCAAAATTTGTGGGATGCTGTGAAAGAAGGACATTTAAAAAGTTAGTTAGAGCTGAGGACAAAGAGAAATTTATATCTTTGATTGCCTATCTGGAAGAGTTACTTGAAATCAATCATTTGAGTTTCACCTTAAGAAGCCATGAAAAGTTAAGCAAATTGTAGTAAGAGATAAAGGTAAAAAATGAAATAAAAGAGACAAATGATAGAGAAATTATAAAAGCCAAAAGATGTTTTTCTAAAAGATTGATAATATTGTTAAACATTTAAAACAAACAGGTTAATACAGAGAAACACAAATTGCAAATAACAGGCATAAAAAAGGAGATAATCACTATAGAATGGATATTAAAAAAAATAATGAATAACTTTGTGCCAACAAATTCAACAAATCAAATTCCTCTGAAACACATTTTATGTCAGAGTTGACATAGAATGACACAGAAAATTAAATGGCTTTGTATCTTTTAAAGATACTGAATTCAGAAATAAAACCTTTTCCTCAGAGAACTCCTAGCTCAAATGGCTTTCTAGTGACTTCTACCAAACATCAAAGAAAGAAATAATGCCAAACTTACACATACCCTTTAAGAAAATGAGGGGAAAATGTTCTGGTTCACTATATAAACCTAGGATAAGCATCAATCAAAACATCAAGTATTTATTTAATTTACAGAAAAATTATCACTCATGAACACAGAGACAAAACTCCTTAGCAAAATATAGGCAGACTGAATCCACCAATAAATAAAATGAATAAAAGGTGACCCACTGAAGTTTACCTCAGGAATCCAGAGTTGCTTTAATATTTAAAAAACAATTAATGTTTTCACAAGATGAAAGAGAAAACTATGCAGGTGGTTGCAGAGCAGCAATGTAAAGGCAATTACTTCTAATTCAAAGTGCAAAACAGAGAGGGAAGAGATTGTGGTCGTTCGTAAAATGAGAAAGCAAACTGCATGTTTGTTACAACCACAAAATATTCTTATGACATTTAATTATATCCATTATTGCTTCACCGTATCTTTTAATACTCACTGCATTTTTGTCCTCTTCTGCAACTACACACCCCTACCCACCTGCCCAATACTGGTAAACAAATAAATAACAAAATACATTAAAATAACTTTTTTTTCTTTATAGGGGCTTGAGGTTCCAGTCAGCAGTTAGGGTTCTGCAGATGCCATCTGTCTCTTTCTTCTTCATCTAGAGTTTCGGAGGGAACACAAGACATGGATAAGGTGAACTGCCCTCTATTCTGTTTCTGCTCAGAGCCACAGCCCTCAGTAGCCGACTGCCCCTTAGCACTCACTGCAGTGTGCCTGGGGAGTCAAAATGCATGTTGAAATGTAACAATGAATCATAAAAAAAAAAGACTCAGATATGAGCTAAAAACAATCACTCATGTACAAAATGTCCTAAATACTCTTCCTAAAAATGCTATTTTAGATGATTTCCTACCATGTTGTCCTTAAATAGAAGTCTAGAAAGCAACTTAAAATTAAGTTATATTTTATAAACTATTATATAATTAAGTAGAGAGCACTAAGTACAATTGGCAGAACAGTACAATTTGTTATAATAGGAAGACAAGACATGAAAGGAATTCAACAAAATAATTTGATTACTCTTTTCTGGTCTAATTATTATTTCCTTGGCTGTCTAGCACCTGAAACTCCTTCCTGTGTTAGAATTCTCCACCTTATTATTCTCCCCTACAGAAGTGAAATTTGTCCAATAGTAGCTTTCCTAGTAGCCAAAGAGAGGGTGTGGGGCCTTAGCCTGACCAAACAAATGCACCTGTTCTTAGACTTCCAGTGAAAAATGAGAGATGCAAAGATGGAGGGCCAACCAGGTGAGGAGCCACTCAAGACCCAGAGCAGTGATGGCAGTGGTGCTGCCTGGAGTCTGCCACCTGCAGACTCTCGAGCATCACCACTTAAAACTAGATCTATAGTGAACATTTGTTATTGGTGATGTTGACTGGGAGGAGTTGGTCTCCTAACTGTCCCAGCCATGCTCTACCATACTGTAAACTAACCAATAAATGCTTTTTCAGCATAACTCAATAAATACTAGCTTCATTTACTCACAACAAAGAATCCTGCATGATACATCTACTACCGTGCAACCAACCTCATTATGCTGAACTGCCACCTAGGAGAAGCTATATCCAATACACAGAGCTACTTCTAGTTTTTATACTGGTGAAAAAAAAAATTTGTGCCCCCTTCTAAATTTCCTACTCATGTTAGCTTCTCACTTTTAAAGGCTCTGCTCAAATTAAAAGGTGTTTCCTGTTTCAGGGTTAGAAATTATACTTTCTAAGTATGACTAAAAGGATTGAAAATAAATTAGGATAGAAACTATTAACAGATGATGTACAAGATAATAAAAAGACAAATATCATTCTATCCTAGGTTACTATCTGTAAATGAGGAGTAGATTACTGCAGGCAAAGTTCCCCGTGATGATTATTCATGAGCTTATTCAAAGCGGATTTAAGGGCTCAGTCCATTTGCCAAATTGATTCTTGCCCAAATTTTCCTGGCACACAAACTACCCGTTAACCCTCCTATTAGTAGTCTCAGTAGGAACCAACGCATGAATGAGCATGAAGCCTCTTGTCTCTCCTGGAGAGGCCAACCAGAGCAGCGCTCAGGCCAAATGTCTCAGAATTACCCAAGAGCTGTGCCCAGTGTCAGATAATAAATACTTGAATTGTAGATAATGAAGCCTTTGCTTTCCCTGACTCTTGCTCTGGTAGTGATTTAAAGAACTGGACCCATTGAAAAGAATGGATTTTTTTTTGTCTTACTATTTTAGATTTCTAAAGCTTCAATTTATTCTATATGCAAGGGAATCGAAGATGTCTGGTTAAAATACTTACTTTCAGTACTACAGGTGACAGGTAATTTTATTGCTAAAAAGATTAGTTTGGTGTTTCTGGCCTTATCAGCTGATGTAGTATTTTCTTGGTAAGATTCAGGATAAGAGTACAAACTGTAGGTTTTCTTACATGGCACAATCTGCCAGAACAGAATATCCATCAGGGACACAGGGTAGCACTGCCTATCAAAGTGAGCCTCCACCGAGACCACACAGCCAATGAATTTGCCCATAAAGGACCACTGTATCCCCGTTATATGGGAGACAGATCACTGGCTCATTTCATATTATCCTGTCAGGACTCATAAGATAGAAAAATATCTCCTTTCATTCCCAGCCAGGTTGGAAATGACTCAGTCATTCAGAAACAAACAGGATGTAAGTTGATTTTTTAAAAAATTAGTTAGATAATAAAATCTTTTATTCAAGTCAAAATGAGTTTCTTCTTTTTCTAAAAGAGAAATAATAGATAAGATGCATAACTGAGTAAAATTTAGGAAAGCATGCATTTTTATATATTAAGTAAAAACTATAATGAAAACCAAATATTTCTTGATTTTTGATAATACAGCATAAAATCCAGCAGGAATATTTTATTATGAAATAGTTCATTTGACATGTTAAGAACATAACTGAAAAGTGTCCCATCCAAGAAATACACATGAGTTTGAGCGACATCAGCTGAAATACATTGGATCTTGCTTATGTGGTTTGTGGGGATTTTTGACAATCTTCAGAGACCTCAATGGTTGTCTGTTGGGATTTGCAGAGGGTCTGCAACATCCAAAGTAAAACTGTTTGATTCCACCTCACACCCATGCAAAGCCTTCAGTTCCTCCTCCTTTATTATATTACCCAGTGCTTTAGTTTTCTACCATGTGACATACTGATGAAAATGTTTGCTTTTATTCAATGCCCATACCAGAAAACTGACATACATACGTTAATGCAAAGGTATAATTACAGGGAAAAGACATACACATTAAATGACAGTATCATAAATATTTACAGCATAGTGCATTCAGGTTAATAAGCAGGTGTTACATGTAAACTATAACAAGTTCTCTGAAAAGATAAATAGAAACATTTTAATTTATGCTTTAATGATGGTTGGAAGAACATATTGCTCTTTATTCTGATTATACTACACATCATTAGCTTCCATGATTTCCTCACTCTCTTTTCCAATAAAGGGAATTAGCAGTCTTGGCTGCATATCAGAAGGACAAAATTTAAACTTTTATTTCCTCATGGCTGATGACAGTAAGCTTCTATCACTCAGGACTCTTTGAACCATCTCCTCAAGTGCAATAAGTGTGTGTTGATCAGGGAGGCGAGGGGTGGGGAGGAAGTCAGTTTAAATGAAACACATGTGAGTGGGAGCCTGGAGGTCTGCCGCAAACACAGATATCAGACCCCAGAGGCAAGTCTGAGACTAACCAGGACTTCAAAATGACATAAAGTAAGACTGCATGAAATCTTTCATTCTAATTCTCCTCATGCTAGTTTCATTTTCTAAAGAAATAATTTAAAAGATTTTGAGTTTTAAAAAAATATTTGAGACACCTGGATAACATAAGTTGGGAATGCCACCACATGGCCAGGGTCATGGTTGCATGACTGGATCACCCACCTAGCAGTTAGGCATGTCTTATGACACTAGAAAAGGGAAATTCAGAAGAAAAAAATCATATTTTAAAGAAAGCATTAAAGTTACTGTTATGGAAAACATAATTTCTTTGTCAAACATCTCTTCTGGTTCAATGTTGGGTTTTTTTGTTTTTGTTTTTTTTTTTTAAATTTTGAGTGACATTTGAAAAAAAACAGAATCTGTCAGAATTTTGAATTTGAGTACTTATCCCAGATCTTTATGAAAATACAATATTTAAGAACAAGAGATAACCTGAGAGATGGTCTCTGCATCCTACACTGTATTATGGGAAAAATGACCGTTTGAAAGTCTAAATACCTTCTTTTGTCTGCTCTCAGCAGCAGCTAGCTGTGTGGACATCCTTTCTTGCATTTTTCGGCAGTGGGCCATGACTGCTTCAAGGATGGAGAGGGGGTTGGTACAAACTGGCTTCTTGTCTTTATCGCCGGCACCTGCTTCATAGTCTCTCTGCAGTGCCAAGAATGGGTCGTTTAAATTAAATCTTCCATATCGTTCCTGGATAAATACCTCCTTCCTGCGAGCCTAGAACAAAATCAGAGGAATGTACTGAAGAAAGAAATGATAAATTAAGATATTTATAAGAAGGTTCTATGATTACATTTCCCAATGGAATTCATAATTCTTCTGAGTAATGGCTTGTGTATGATATTAGGCAGAGAGTAAGATGCAAGAGGAGTTTGACCCCAATTCCTGACTAGCCTGGCATGTTATTGCATCTACTTTTACATTTTCTTCCTTTAAGAATATTGTCTTTTACATTACAAATGATACTGATATATTTTTCCTATGATGCCCACTCCTTCAAGGATCTGTTTTAGGTGCAGCCTTTTCTAATTTAAAGTAAAAATCAAAATGATCAACAACTAAGTTTTAGCAAAAGTTCAAAAATAAAATGATCTCTGTTGACAGAACTTATATATTTCTCATAATACTTATGAAGTCACAAAATATAAATCTCCTACAAGTTTTATATAGCTAAAAAAAATTTATAAGGATATTTGCTAAAGAAGAAAATACTTTATGAAATTTTTTAGTTAAAAATGCACACCATTCTCATTTTGTGAAGTTTAAACAACTATAAAAAACCTCCAGAAAATTTAAGACATAAATATCTCATCATTGAAGGTTATTAAAATATAGTTCACAGAATCCCAGGAAAGAATGTAACCACATTTTACTCTAAATGTCAGTCCAACAGCATTCAAAGTTAATGGCACATCCACGTGGCACTAAATGCAATTTTTGATAATTAGCCTACTATAGTCTTTGCATAAAATGGAAAATTGCAGTAGAAATATATTGAAAACTAGCAACATCCTTCTAATTCAGGTCATTTGGGAGAGCCCCTAGGAAAAAAATTATTCTATGTCACTGCCAGTGGAAAAATGGGATAGTTTATATCCCAATAATCAAGCTTAATTGTCCCAAATGTTAAGTGTGTTTTCTAGAGATATAGTACATACATTTCCACACTTCAAAAAGCAACCATGCTGAGCTATACTTTTCCATTTTTAGACCACTGTCAGCAAGCCAACAACTAGATAAACACAAGTGCAAATGACAAATGGGAAAACCTAACATTTTGTTTTCCTATTACCAAATTAGATCAATTTGGAGATGCAATTTACAAAAAGCCCAATTTCACCATTAAATTCAAGCGAGTGTTCAGAGCATCATCTG